AGCTTAAACGAGTTCTTGATGAGAATCCTCGATTAAGAGGAGGATTTTAAAAGCTGCTACCAGGCTTCTGAGTCAGTTAGGATCTCAGCAAATTGTTAAACTTCTTGTAAACGGCGGCTTACGAGACGAAGACAAATAATATTGATAGATGTTATGAAGCGGGCTTCGGAGAATTGAAATCTGCTTAACCGTGGCGATGTCTGAGAGTGATTTCGTACACTAATCACCGAAAATGTGGCTGAAACATACTGAAAATATAACATGAGGCATCGTGGAACATCCAGTAGTCGACATGTCGCGAGGTAAGTGGAATATATTATTATTTTCTTTGTGCATCGTTATTTTCACCTTATTATACTAATTAGAACGGCGGTCTTTGTTGACAAAAGAACAGCTTAAACTTCTTCTTCTAACATTTTACAGTTTTAACTGCCCCAAAATTTTCTTGCATGTTTTTACAAGTGAAACATTGCTCTTTAAGTGGAGGGTAGTTTTGGGATCTCAGGTGCTGTACTTTTAGCGATATTTTCCTTTAAATTTCGCCTTTTTTATGGCGCTTCATGAGTAGTCCTAAAGGGGAAAAATTTAAAATTATGTAAAAAAATCACATGATGATCAAATTGCCAAAACAGCCTCTCAATGTAACAAGAAACATTTGCTTGTCTCGAATAAAGGGTTTTTACCCGAATTTACATCGTTTTCTTTGTATAGGAAATTGTTAAAATGTGCAAAACCAAGATGGTGGCCCCAGCGCTAAAATACGAATCGAATTGCACTGAAAGTTATATTTTTGTGAATCACTTATCTAGAACATTCATCTGAGAAAGTTTGAGGATTTGATTTTTTCTGGTCCAAATGGCTATAGTTGAAATTTACAGAGGGCGCCTCTTAAACTTCAACAATGTAATTACCTATCTAACCTTCATTGTAACTTAAAACGTGCTCATAACTCAACAACGAGCTAAGTTATGCTATTTTTTAAATTATCTTCAGTATGTTCAGACCCAGATTTCAGGAAAAAAAATTTGAAGAAGTTTAGAACCAGCCTTGAAAACAGAAAAGTTTAAGTGGTTTTAAATTTCTCAAGAGGTTATTAATATGGCTAGGACGTGGGCTTCCCGAGCAATTTACTTTCAAAGGTGCCCAGGCAGGAGAAGTCTGCAACCCCGCTAGAAACAAAACTAACGGCTCGTGATTTACAAGCTTTGCTCGCGTTCTCCCAACATCCCGCGTGGGATGTTTTTTTTTTTTTTTTTTCAGTTTGTACTCACCGCTTTTACAAGAAAAGAGGATCTACTCGCAGTTTAAACATAATAAGTTATAAATACAAAAATTACATACCGCCCTCTTTCGTACGTATGTCAGTTTTCTCGCTGCTTTTCAGTGTTGCTACATTAGTTACTCGATCATTGAGGAGAGCAACAACCTTGACTTCGTAATTGCTGTAGGGTTTCAGATTGCGCACCACGGTATTTGAAGATGAAGGATTTTCTACACTCAACAGAAGAATGTCACTGCTACCACCGCGTATGCAAACAGTTACATAACCATATATGTCAGTGGAATTTAAGCTGCTGGTGTTCAAAGGCAACCAA